GCAAGTATTAAACGAAACGCAAGAATATTTTTCTCTAACATTCTGGCTATTCCAACATTCTTCTCAAGATCACCGCAACGTGTGTCCATTCTCAAGAAGCATATGGAAGTCAGCATTCCACGTCCATCTTCTACAAGGTGGAACTTCAACATACGGACCATAAACAGAGTTCATGAAAATTTGCAACCTTTAATAAACTGCCTTACTGAAATTCAGTCAACATCAAATGCAGATCAAACCATTGCAGAAGCAACAGGAATTTTAAAATACCTCAGTGATGATAATTTCAAGTTTTGGTTAGAGCTTTTTCATCACATTATGCCTCATGTTGAAATAATTTACAACCAAATGCAATCTCGAGAAATTAGTGTGTTTAAAGTTAATGAATGTATAACAAATTTCAAAACTGCTATTTTAGAATTGAGAAACTCAAAGTACTGTGAGAATCCTTCAAAGACACTCATGGCAGAAGCTAAGGAAGTGTGTGACTGTGTATGTGTTGATATAACGGACAGATATTCTTCCACTAAACACTTAGTAGCTGTTAAATTGTTCAACAAGAAATGCTTCACTAGTTTTAAGAATGAATAGCCCACAGAAGAGATAGTACTGACCACTGAAGCATATCCCATGATTGACAAAGAAAAGCTTGAAACTGAATTAAAATTTTCTATTGTAGGTCTGATATTAATGAATATTGCACATTACTTGAGCTGCTGAAATTTATCTTGGAAAATAATCTAGATGATATTTTTAGTGAAATTATGAAACTGATAAAAATCCTCTTGACAGTTCCCATGACTACATCAGAGGCACAGACCGCTGCTTTTCAACATTGAAAATAATAAAAACTTTTCTAAGAAGCACTATGAATTCGGAGAAAGACTAAATGCGCTTGCAGTGCTTTCAATGGAGAAAAATTTCCTCAGTTGTCATTCAGAGTTCAAGGAGAAAATTATTGATCTTTTCACGCAAATTAAAACAAGAAGAATGAATTTCATTTTTAAATGGATTAAGCTTGAACTGTAACAATTTAGGTTAAAGTAAGTAAAAAATGTTTTATTTTGTTCTTTTAGGATTTTATCAAGTTTCTGAGTAAATTTTCTTTTTATACATGTTTGTTTCCTTTTATACAATTTTAAAACAAAGGCTACAAATTTTCTGGAGCAGCACCCCCACTAATTTTAGCTACAAGCCGCCACTGCACCCAGACTGATGCAGACATACACATACATGATGAGAAGCACACATTGAGAAACAGATATAGACACATAAAATGAGACTTGAGGACAGGTACACCAAGAAACAAAATGACAACCAGAACGCAGAATACTCGCCTAAGAATAATCACTGCGCGCACGCACACGCACACACACACACATATGCACAGTCATGCACACTTTCTGTGATGTTTACCTATATTTTTAAGAATACACTAATTTATTTTTGAAGACTCTGTACATTTCATGTAAGTATTATCTTGGTTCCGACAAAATTAGCATAAAAGTGCCTGCCTAAGAACATCATAATACTAAGTGCAGTGTTAGAAATTACAGATTTTAGGCAACTATCCTATAATTTGTACTACTACAATTTGTTAAAACTTATCATATTATCTACAAACTGAATCTAGATCTGACCCCCCCCCACACACACACACACACACACACACACACACACAAATTATGCCAGCAAAATGAGTTTCTTTCATTGAAATAAAACAACTCTCATCTCTGGTTTGAAATGGACCATTTCTTGTGTCAATGCCTTATATACTTTCAGTCAACTGGTATTATTATCAACTGCAGTGCAACATGAGAACTTTTATTACCTCCCACTTATTCCCTTGTTTTCTTAATGTCTTCACTTATATGCTCCATTGAATCCATTAGTTTTCACCTGACTCTTGGAAGTGGCAAGTCAATCCAACAGTTTTCACTTGAATGAATTATTTGACCATTAAAAGCCTTTATGCTGTTCACAGATATTTTTATTCTCCACCAAAATACAGAGTTTCGTTAATTTATTTTTACAAATGGCTATATTCATGGAAGCATATGACAATTTTGTTGACCAAATTAAATGATATATATTACTAAAATAAATTAAAGCCAAAGTGATGCATCAATTCACAGTAATACTTAGGGTAAATATTAACAAAGTCTATTCCAACTAGCATAAAGTCAGATAAATTCTACTGGAACTCACCTAAGTTTCATATTTCATTCAGAGCCATAACAAAACAAAAAATAACTGGAGGTAAAAAGAGAAAATTAATGTTTTCTCATTTAGCTATAAATTAAGAATGAACTAGATTTGTAATATCACAACAGCACCACAGAAAACCAGGATAAAAAATCAGATTAATTTGTTAGTGCTAACAGCCAGCTGCTCTACAATCATCTGCTATCATTAGAAGCAGCAATAAATGACAAATTAGTGTCTCAGCACAGGCAGTCTGCCACCATCACTCATTGCAAGGGGTGAATCAACAACAAATAATGATGTACCACTTCCAAAGTACAAATATATTGCAATATGAAGGGCCTGGAATTCTGAAGCCATTTAACCATAACCAAAGTATTAAGTACTTGTTTATATTAATTTCATTTTCCTTCATATTAATATTAAAACTGGGATTTTAACAAAAATTTATGTCATTAGCAACTGTTTTTAAAAGGTAAAACATTTGTTATAGTGCACATTTTAGATACGTGTGCACTAGGTTTCCAGTCAAATACCGTATCTCCATGCATAACCTGCACACTATTTATAATAATCTTAGAGCCTTAAAATCCAGACAAGACAATTACATGAGAAATTTCAGAATCAGCTGAATCTGCTACGGATTTATGACTTATGTCTCTTTCTAGTGAAACTGGTACTGTTTTTATACAGTTGTTTATTTTGTGTTTTGAATGTTTTCAAAAGATGCCAGAACAAAGGTGCTTGTACATATGCTTTAAAATGGACAGCTATTTAATATATATCTACAACATACTTACATACTGAACCATTCAAAACCTCAAATAATGAATCTTCTGTACATTTAAAATGCACATAATTTGCGAAATTACTTATAACAGGCTATGTACAAGAACTATTGCGATTGTAACCCACTTTTTTGCCTTTGATATTTGCCTCCGGTAGAAACACTGTGTTAGCAGAATTGATTTATCTTGCATTTGCAAGACAAGAAAGTACACAAAGTGCAGTTCTAATGCTTTTATTTGTTGCTGGTAATCAACTGGGCATCACAATCTACAACAAAAAATCTGAAGCTCAAGTAACTTTACTGAAGAAATTTGCTGCTATCAGAGTAGAGTTTCTTTGAATTGATCAGCAAAACATAGTGACACATATCAGTAACTGAATGACGGCCAGTAATATATTTACAGTGCTCTATGTGGGACCATAACTTAGAGCCAGGTGCTGAGATTTCAAGCTGAAGAATGCAACAGAAACTACAAAATTTATAGTATAATGAAATTTTAGATTTATACTTACTGTACAAACAAAAGTATCTTGCCAACTGCAGACAAAATTACTTTATTATTATATTAATATTCAGAACTTTTCCAGTCTTTCCCAAATATTGCTGTTTTCTGATTACTTTGAAAAAGAAAGTTCAGGAAGGTTATCCACACACACAAAGGCAAAATGCAAGTCTGGTTTTAATTTTGTATCTGATGTATATCAGCTTACTGAAAGTTAACTCCCAGAAGTAAGCCTGTGCTGCTCCAACATGTGACACAATTGTTTTAACAAATAACTGTAATGAAAGGCTTTACTGCCTAACTAGTTGCCCCCTTATTTTCCCACTGCAAATGATCAGAGGATACTCACAGTATCTAAACGAGTACTTTTACTGAAAATGTCTGATCCTGAAGCAAAAGAAGGTCTGAATCATATTACTCTGCTCATTACCAGCGCCATACAAAGTCATACTATCACTGATACAAAACATTAATCACATTTTTGGCCCACTTTGGCCATGGTGGGTGGCATTATGTTTGAGAGCACCATCACAGACTGTAAACTGTTACTTTTTGTGATGAATGTGCATCTCATTTTCTTGTGCTTACATGACACATTTGGGTGTGAACATAAATGTCCAAATTTTTAGACCTCATAAATGTTTGCCAAAGGTAATTTTAACCATTCCTTTTACTTACTCCAATCATGTCTGATAAGGCACATGGTAGCGTAGTTGCTTGAAGCCCTATGCTACAAGCCAGAAGATTGCAGGTTCAAGTCCCAATGAGGTGGATTGTTCAATTTACCTAATCCTTCCAGCCACATTATGGCCCCCACGTTGCCTCAGCCTCTAACAGAAATGAGTACCAGGGATCTTCCTGGGGGGTAAAGGGTGGCTGGCACATATGGCTGATAACCTTACCACCATCTGTGAGCCGACTGTCTAAAGAAAATGTTGGAGCCTTGATGTCTCACAACCCTATTGGCCTTCATGGCCTGTTTTTTTTAATTCGCTTAGTGGGGAGTAGAGTCCAACTGGGTCCACCTGGCATGGCAGCCAATGATTGGCCTATTGTAGCCTGCTCTGGGTGATTATGATGATGGAGATTTTTGTGGAATGAAGATTGGCAGAGGAAACTGAAGTACTCGGAGAAAACCTGCCCCAGCGCCACTTTGTCCACCACAAATCCCCACTTGACCAGACCCAGGATCGAACCCAGGCCGCCACAGTGGGAAGCCAGTGACTAACCGCTTGAGCTATGGCGTGGCCCTTCATGGCCTGTTACAGAGATAGCTTCACCTTTTTACCTTAATTTGTCTAATGCTCCTCTGCCAAATTTTCATTACTTTCCAGAAGAAATAAAACTTCAAAAACTGTATAAAATATTAAAACTAAAACTAAAACTAAACTAAACTCCGGGGCTTTAGTTCACAAGCGAACTCTACCGACTCAGCAACTGCTGCTTGTCGATGAAGTTAATGTCAACATCAGTGGATACAGGGTGTCGCGTGGTCAGCGCAACGAATCCCCACGGCCGTTAATTTCGGTTCTCTAGACCATGTATAAAATATTAGAGCACTGTATATATCGAAAAGGTGCTATCACTATATCACTGCCAATAGTTCTCTGAAATGCTGAGTTGATAATGTCACATACTCTAAAAAGTGTATCAATTCAAATGTAAGTGCCAAGTAAAAAAGAACTATAACAAAACTGTAACATGATTTTTGCTTAGAAAGCATACAACACTAATTCCATACCATAACACTGGATATCAACCATAATGTGAGGGTGACAATTATGTGTGTAAATACAGTCCATGGATAGTACCATCTTAATTATCTAGTGCCCTTTGTACATGCTAATTACAAGAACTAAAATAATGTCATCTATGTTTGAGATCCAAACAGCACATTTAATGTCATTTTCTAGCACCAAAACAATACAAAACCTTGCCATGCACTGGACTTTCTATCTCCTCATTATTACAAAATATGTACACATACAAATAAGTTTCCTACATTGCTTGTTCATATTTCTGTACAAAGAGCAATAAATATACACATGACCATCACAGAATTGCATGTCACTTGTCTGTGATTAATTTGGCAATAATAAATAACAGTCACATTACAATATATGTATTTATACACATACAACTGATTGCACTTTTTGTTAATAACATGTTTTGATAGATGTATCGAAAGTTTATTTTTTTAATTACAGAGAGTATTATTTTAGTTAATATAAAATCATTGCACAACTATTCACCCTTGCAGGCAGCTCACTTTGAACAGAAATTGTGAGGAGTTCAAACATTTTCTGAAATTCTCTTCTGATGCTACAACCAAATGCACCTCCTCACATTTCAATAGGCCTAAGAGAAATTGTTCAATATAGAGAAGAATAGTGAATATCATAGCAATGGTAAGTACTAAAATGTACTCACAAATATACAAGATTTGGGATTTTTATACGATTGTAATCAACTTATACTGAACATCTGAACTTCAACTGGACGTTTCATTACAATACTCAATAGCACTAACTGGAATGACCTTGGATCTTACATAATTTTATTACAATTCAGACATGTTACACTATCTTACATTAATAACAATTTAATTTCTCAAAACACAATAATTTAATTAAAAAATAAGATAAAACTGTACAATGGAATGTGTGAAAGTAAAGGGAATTTCATAGCTATGTCCACAATATGTAATTAAGCCAGGAGCATGTCAATTCCCCACCTTAATTTTAAATAAATTCAACTCCTTACACAGTTGCATGGGAAGGAGGTGGGGAACATATTTCTAAAAGGATGGTCCACAGTCTACAGCAGGCCACTGGCTACCATTAGTGATCAAATAAATCACAACATACAACACAGAAATCTACAAATTCTCTCAGGTTTTGGTCGCTATGCTATTACTTCCTATATGACTCCTCCTTGGTAGTGTTGAGGACATGTTGACAGCACTGTACTTCCTTGTGGGGATGCCTGATTGATCAGACCTGGATGCCACTGCAGCAACAAGTTCTGATGCTGCCAGGTTAGTTCGCTGCTTCCAGACCCCTTTCCCTGGGAGTTTTGAAGTTGTCACCACTGGCTGTCGTCCAACTCTCAGCTCCCCCAGTGATGGCAGTCTTCTCCGGTCCCACGTGTCAGTCAAACTGCACAAAAGTAAGTTGTGACATGTATAACTGATACATCATGACAGAAAACACAGTCCTAAAAACTAAACAAGCATTAAAAGCACTCATCTTAGAATTTAAAAGGATTATATCCAGCGGGTTCTGATACCTTTCATACATGTTGATGTCACTATACAAATTAAATGATTCACTGGTTATCACTATCAAGCAAAATGTATTATGCAGTAACTATGGTGGAATTTTTAATTTTCCTAAGATGTTACTTCCTTGGAAACTGAAAGGTTTTAAAAAATCTAACTCATCAATCCCATGGCGAGGGTCTATCTTGAAACTTCTGGTAGCTGCTCATCTGGTCAAAAAAGTCCCTGTATTTTTTTAAACCTATAGGTTCGTTAGTGCCAGGAATCCCAAGTGGTTTTATTATTTTTAAGTTTTTTAACTAAATTTTGAATGCATTTATCATCTCCCCATGCAACATGTTCGGCCCCCTCATCCTCCCCGATTTGATCATTCTAATAATTCTGGTGAGGAGTACAAATTACAAAGCACGTCATTATGTATACTCTCCATCCTCACATTCTTTCCTCTATGACCAAAATATTATTTCTCAGCACTTTGTTTTCACATATCCTTACTTCAGATGCTTCCCCTACAGCAAAAGACCAAACATCACACCCAAATAAAACAAGCATAGTTAGTTTTACAACATATAATTTCAAGCCCCTACACTGAATTCTATGCAGTGCTGTTTGGTATGGCTGATGACAAAGCAGTATCATGACAACATGAAAAGCTTCACAGCTCGATGTCTAAAATACTGTGTCTATATTTCAGTCAGGAGGAATGATGCTTGTTCCTTCAGAATAAAAAAAACTTAAATTCCAGCTGAGTCTGTTTAAACAATAAGCCTGAGAAATGTGAAAAAGTGAAGTGAAATATAATTTTTCTTGCTACTGAACAAAACATGTCTTGATTAACATGCATTATGTGTGCTGTGTGGCACCAAGTGGGGAGCAGCGTATTGTATCCAATAGTGGAAAAATTATGTCCTTACACTGTAAAGTTACAAAAGGCACAAGTATTAATGGTGAATATTACAAAGGATTAAAGTGGATAAAAAGGAATTACTTAATCTACAAGATGATATGAAGGAACTAAGTAATCTGCTAAAAACAGTCACAAGGAGTTCGGTAAAAGAGGTTATACAACATAAAGTTAATTTGATTTTAGTAAAAACGGATAGTATTACCGAGGATTCTATGAGAAATTAATAGCATAATTAGTGCTGGATGGAAGTGAAGAATGGAAAATCTAAAACAGACAGGAAACAATATGATGAGTACATGATGCACGTCCAATTGGAATTAAATGGAAAGAAGAACTGACTGGATCCAATCATTCACACAACTATGAAAGAGCAAAGGTGAAGACTATTCTGTTTGGAAGGCACTAAAAACAATAGGCCAGTAAATAATGAAGAGGAAGAGATGACTTGAAGCTTAATAATCAGAGCTTCAGCCAAAATGACTCCATAAAGTACCAATAAAAAGCTCAGATTTTTTTATGGACAGATATAGATAAATTATAAATAACCAAAAATGTGAAAGGGGCGTGAGGTTGAATTTAAAGAATCATAAATTTGCAATTTTACACCACAATGTTCAAAGTTTATTAAATAAGCAAATGGAATTACCAGTCCTCTTAAATACTAGTTTACAAAGTACAGATGTCCTGTGTTTTACAGAAAATTGTCTGGCAGAAGACCAACTAATCTTGTTAAAAATTAATAATTTTAAATTGGTTAGTAAATTTTGTAGGAAGTATTGTAAGAACGGAGGATCTTATATATGTATAAACAAACAGTTCCATATTAAGGAAATTAATTTTCTTCATGAACTGTGGTGTGAAAAATACTTTGAGATATCTGTAGTAGAAATTAGAGTTCAGAGGGTTATTGGTCTGTATTTACAGATCCCCCTACACTGATGTTCATATTTATTTGGACAAACTGGAAACTCTTGTTGATAGGGTATAAAGGAAAAAAAAAAAAACTAATAATTTGTGGAGAGTGGAATATAAACCTTCTCCAGGAGAAGGAGAAGGAGCAGGTACAGGCACTGGAAAATATACTGGCATCTTATGATTTAATAAATACAGTTACTGTACCAACAAGAGTTACCAGTAGTTCAGAATCTTTGATAGATGTCATGGTTACAAATAGACAGTTTAATAAGAACTATATAGAGATCATAAACATGGGTTTTTCTGACCATCTGGCTCAGATCTTATGGGTATATATAGACACATGGAAGAGAGAGTTAAAAAAAAGTACCGCAAAGAAAGCTCTCTAAAGAGAATGTAGTTAAGTTCACAGTCATGTTAAATAATGAATTATGGGAGGGCATTTATTTGGAAAAGAATGTAATGCACTATATCAGATATTTATAAATAAGTTTTTATATTATTTTAGTAGAGCCTTTCCACTGAAACTAACAACAAAGATATATATAAAAAATAATTTATGGATATCTAGAGGAATAAAAGTTTCATGTCAGAAAATGAGGTTCTTAAATAATCTAAAGTATAGGATGTCACTGCCAAGGGATGCATTGAGTTATATTAACAGATATCACAGAATTTATAAACGAGTTATTTGTGAATCTAAAAATACATAATGACAAACAAATAGTATGTGCATCAAACCCAAATAAAATGATGTGACAATTAATTAGTAAAAAAAATGGGAAACTCACGGGAATACTACCAGGATATTTGGTTACAAAATAATTTAAAGATGTTGTATTTTAGCGTCCTGTTGCACTGATTCATATCCATGATGTGTATGTATTGACCGTCTTCTAGTGCATACAATCTCACTTGTCACTTCACTACATGTTTTGGCATCACTGTGCCATCCTCAGAAGGTGGTAGATACATTAAATTCTTATTTTATTGATACGGTAGAAGAACTAGTGAAGAAAAATACGAGTAAAGGTGGTAGTAGTAGATCATTACAAAAAGTAGTGGACTTCAATCCAAACTCTATGTATTTTTACCTGGTTTCTGACCAAGAAATAGTTTCAGTAGTATCCAAATTAAAAGGCAAAACTTCTGCAGGATTTGATGAAATCCATGATTTTCTAGTAAAAGCATGCATCACATGTGTAAAAAAAAAAAAAAAATTTCATATTTAATGAAACCAGATTTACTGAAAATGGCAAAAATTGGGCCTGTTTATAAAATGGTCATAGGCAAAAAATTAGTGATTACAGCTCTATATCTGTTATATCTATATTTTCAAAATTTTTGAAAAAATAATATATAAGGGATTGGTATCCCTCATTATTAAATTTAAGATTTTAATGGATAATCAATATGGGTTTCAGAAAAATAAGTCGACCATATCTGCATGTCAGTCTTTTATTGGAAATGCTCAGGAAGCATTGGACATTTGCATCTGGTATATTCTTTGATCTCACAAGAGTGTATGATGTTACTGATCATGATATACTTCTTAAAAAATTACATCATTATGGAATAAGAGGGGAAATCTATGTTTGGTTAAAATCCTATATCACACTGCATTCTCAGCATATAGAATAACCTCTAATGACAATAAATATTCTATGAATAGGTATAATTCTACACTGAGGAATATAAAACTTGGAATACCTCAAGGGTCTATTGAGGGACTGCTCCTGTTTTTATTATATACAAATGATTTACCACATCTTATATCAAATGGAGAACTGGTTCTTTTTGCAAATGATACTAATATACTGACAATTGATAAGAATAAAATTACTCTCCAAGAAAAAATAAAAGGGAGTGATGATCCAGCTAGAATCTTGCTTTTCAAAAAATAACCTGTTTATAAATACTGACAAGACCAAAGCAATGCTATTCCAATTAAATAAATTGTATGACATGTCTGGGCCAGTAATGACTTTAAAAATTTTAAAAATTAATTAGACATCACAGTTCAGATTTTTAATTATCAAAATAAAAATAATTTAAAATTGAGTTCACAGATTCAGCCCTTGTGTCTAAAATTGAATAAGGCATGTTACATTATTAAATCGTTGAAAGACGAAGTGAGTTGCCATATACTCAGGAATATTTACTTTGCCAAATTTCAATCCTCAGTAAGGCACGGTCTGATTTTTGGGGGCTGAGAAAGCAAACATAGCAAAGTGCTGAAAATACAAAAAAGGATGTCCATGATTTATTCTGACCATCTTACAGTGCATACACTTATTCACCTTACTCTTCTCTCTTGCACTACATGTTTCAGCACTAAAGTGTCATCTTCAGTGTAACACACGCAGTCACAGGAGCAAGACACAACACAAAGCACAATACACACATGAAAGTAGGAAGAATACTCTGATAGAAGAAGACAGGTGTGACTTGCGTATTGAGATATGACATATGGATGACAAATCCTGAACAGTTTTAATATTTAAAATTTATCATTATATATGACGAATACATATTTTAGTCATTTTAGTATAAGGACAACAGGGCATGCAATGAAGTAGTTCGACGTACATAGAAAAGCACCTGAAGATGGGACTTTAGCGCTGAAACATGTAGTGCAAGAGAGAAGAGTAAGGTGAATAAGTGTATGCACTATAAGACGGTCAGAATAAATCATGGACATAAATCAGTGCAACAGGACGCTAAAATATAACATTATTCAAAAAAGGATACTTCGTTTAATGAAAGGTGTAAATAGCAGAACATAATGCAGACTTATTTTTAAAGAATTAAAGATTTTACCCGTTACTTCCTTGTCTATTTTTGAGGTGTTGTGCTATTTTCAGAAATATAATTTATACTCTATGAGAAATTCAGATTTATACTATGAATATAATATTAAAAGGAAAGATGATTTTCATGTGTCAAATTGTAACACATCAACTTTTAAGAAAAGTGTTATCAATATGGGTATTAAATTGTATAATAAACTGCCTTTGGAATTAAGAAAATCAGATGGATTAAAGACTTTAAACATA